TGGCAGCCCCTCCCCAGTTCTCAGGGGTATCAGAAGATTAATTAGTGGCTGCCTGGAAAGTGCTAGATGGGAGCCGAAATGCCTGTCCCCGCTGAGTTTCGGAGCTGTAAATAAGCAGCTTTCTCAATCGCCACTGAAATAGCAATGCTGTCCTTTTATCTGACTCAGATCCCTCGGAGCAAGCCTTGGGTGGTTCCTGAGCCCGCCCCGAAGCCACGGCTTTGCTTAGGACCCAGCCAGAAGCCAGGTCTGAGCTCCATCACCCCTCCCTGGGCGGCATCTGAGTGGGCACCTGAGGACGGGGAGCTGGGGGCCTGCCCTCCCCACCAACCCCCTCCCTCGACCCAGGTGGGCCTGGGCAGAGACCCGCACCCAGCCTCCCACACTGGGGGCTTCTGGCGGCAGGCGAGGGGAGAAAGAGAAATCCAGGCAGCCCGCCACAGGCGGCCCGGGCACCCTCAGCTCCCCCAAGGCAGCTGGACAGGCCCACGTCTCTGGCAAGCCTGTCGGAGGCTGACCTTGGAAAGGGGGTGGTGGTGGCAGCTAGGGGCAAGGAGATGTCAGACTGCCTGACAGCAACCGCCAGCACGCTGTGTGGCTTGGGGCCAAGCCCCAGCCGTCTCTGGACCTCAGTTTCTTCGCCGGAGTTTGGAGTGTCCTTCCCAGCAGTGGCCAGTAAATCCTGAGGGGCAGCCGGGGTCACCCAGAGTTCAGCATGGGGCCAGGGCGGGGTGAGCTGACAGCTGCCCGGTCCTCCCTCCGTGAACTCCAGGAACAAGATAAGGGGGCCGGCAGGGCGCCACCGCCGACACCAACGGCCAACTCCCTCCCTCACTCTCCTTCAACAAATATTTATTAAGCTGGGACTCCGGAGCCGCGCTGCCTGGGGTCAGAGCCCGGCTGGGCCGCTGGCGTCCTGTGTGACCACGGCCTTGCCGTGCCTCAGTTTCTTTCGCTGGCCAGTGGGATTCGGTGTACACCACAGTGGGCACGGAGCGGGTGCCCCGTAAGAAGTGGCCGCCACCGCCTCGTCCTCGGTGTTCTATTATGGCTGGGAGGGTCTGGCACTGAGCTGGGCACGAAGTAAACGCACGGTCCCCTCCGGCCTGGCGCTTGCAGGCTGGCCGAGCTCGGGAAAGAGGGTAGCTGGGCGCAGGAGCACACGGAAAGGAAGTCTTCCAAGAAGCATTAGAGAGCCCACCCATCCACCAGTCCCCAGCTCCCATCCCACATGCCCACGCCTCCTCCTCTGGGCATGAGGAGCGTCCCTCTGCTGGGTACCAGCCCTCCCCCTGCACCCCGCCAGCGAAGGAGCATGCAGAAGCCAGCTACATTGTCATGGGGTCCAGGGGGTCTGGCCGAAAGACCTGAGTTCAAGTTCTAGTTCAACTACTAAGCAGCCCGGTGATTTTCTGCAAATAATTCCACCTTAATAACAATGTGTGTGCACGGGGTGAGGGGGGCTGGCTGGCTGAGTCAGTAGAGCATGTGACTCTTGATCTCGGGGTCGTGACTTTAAGCCCTATGTTGGGTGCAGAGCTTACTCGAAAAAAATCATTTTTATCCTAGCTATAGCTTGCTAATTGTTAACTTTGTAGCAGCCTCGTAGGCCTGTCCTCACACCAGATGTAGCAAACACAGTACACAGCTGAAATATTTGCCTCGTTACAAATGGTCAGCACTGCTATTGTAGCCCCAAAGCTTACCACAGACCACAGAGCAGGTGTGGCCATGTGCCAATAAAACTTTATTTACAAACACAGGGGGTGGGCCAGGGATCGACAGCCCCTGCCTCATACCATACTGAAGGAGATACCATTACAGATCCCACTTCAAAAATGGGAAAATCTGGGGCGCCTGGGTGGCTCAGTGGGTTAAAGCCTCTGCCTTCGGCTCAGGTCATGATCCCAGGAACCTGGGCTCGAGCCCCGCATCGGGCTCTCTGCTCCGCGGGGAGCCTGCTTCCTCCTCTCTCTCTGCCTGCCTCTCTGCCTACTTGTAATCTCTGTCTGTCAAATAAATAAATAAAATCTTTAAAAAAAAAAAAATGGGAAAATCAAGGCCCAGAGAGCTCAAGTCACCCGCCCAAGGTCCCAGCTTGTAAGAGGTGGAGCAGGACCCTTTGCTGCTTGGCCTCAGTCCTGTCACCTGTCAAGGAGGAGCAGCAGTTGGGACTGTGAACTGCCTCGGGGTGAGGGCTGGACAGGCAGGTTCTGGGCCCTGGCTCCCTGCACTTACAGACGCAGCCTGGGGATCTAGCTGTGGGGCCAGAACCAGGTCCCAAGGCTCCAGAGCATTGGTGTCAGGCCTCCAGAGGCCAGGAAGGCTGTGCCTCTTCTCTAAGGGGTGCCTCTAGGCCTCTCCTTCCTGGAGCAGGGTGGCGGGCAGCAGCCGGTTCCACATCCCAGCTCTGGCCAAATCACTAGCCCCTCTGAGCCCCCCTTTCCTCATCTGTGAAATGGGCAGCCACATGCACAGACCTTGGAGATGGGAGAGACTCCTGCAAAGCACTCCCAAAGGGGCCTGACAGTGGTCAAGAGAACTAGGCCACTGCCTACTCTGAGCTCATAGAAGCCCAGGGAAGCAAAGCCGCCGGGCCACGGTTCTCCCCCACAAAGCCGCTAAACTGTCACAGCAAAATCATGAAGTACAAAACCCTAGTGGGGGAGTTAAAAAAGAGAAAACTAGAAGAGAGCAAGAGAGAGAACTCGAGTGCGTGACAAACCTCCCTCCACAGGCTGAGAAATGACTTGTGCCCTGACCTCCCCCGGGGGCCAGACGGGCAGCCCTTCCCCGCACCCCCTCCTGCCCCTGGGCTTAACACCAGCCAGAGCTGATTTTCCTTAATTGCTCTGAATTTCCCAGCCTGACACTTCCTCCTTTTCTTTCTGAACGCTCCAAGTGTAAATAGAAAACCGGTCACCTGACGAAGAGTAAGTACCAGCAGCCACCCAATGGCAGGTGAAGTGGGGTGTAGATTACAAACACCTGTGCTTTTAAGACGCCCTGTACTTAAGAAGATTCATTCTTGCCACAAACATGCACTGAGTGTCTATGAGGGAGGGGGGGGAGCTCCAAACAGGGAAGAACTCTCCCTGCTTTCCTGCAGCTCCGGGTGCAGGGGGAGGCCCACAGGAAGAGCAGCTGGGATTCCAAGAGCTCCCATGCATCTCGCCAGCTCTCGGCTACCTATGGGGGAGATGGCTCCCCACCCCTCCCCCAGCAGCCCTGTGCTAAAACGCAACCCTTTTGCAAACTGGGGGTTCCTGGTTCTAATTTGGATCAGATCCTTCAAGGGCAGTGTGGAGGGAGGGGAAGCGCTGGATTTGCATTTCTGGTCGTGGCAAAGAGACCAAGAATACAAGAGCAGACCCTGAAAAACACACTTCTACAAAAGCGGTGTAGACACCAAGCATTAAATGCAGACCTTGTCAGTTCCTGGGAAGGGCTGGGGACCTAAAACAGCCACAAAGACACTCAGAAGGAGAAACTACAGATTTCATCCAGAACCCATTAGTCTTTCCTACTTTTCTTTTTTTTTTTTTTTTAAGTCTAGTGGCCTCTTGGACCACCTCCTCCCCTTGTACAGGTTCACCGTGGCAAGTGCCAGATCCAGCAGGGCTGGGTCCCGTCCAGGCCATTTGTGGCACCCACGTTCCTCCCATGGGCTGTGGGGCTTCTGTGGGAGCCTCAGCCAAAGTGACAGGAGCTTCTTCTGAACGTACAGTAAAAAACACACACACACACACACACACAAAAAAACAACACAAAAAAAACACACCCAAACCCAACACCCAGCCACCTGCACCTTCCCCCAGCAAACCAGGGCAGAAATTACCCTCCACAGGCAGCCTCTTATGCAGAATTTTAGAAGCCCCAGTGTGAGCCCAGGAACTCCCTCTCCCCCCTACAGCCCCCCCCCCCCCCCCCCCCCCAGATCCATGGACCCCCCCCCCCCCCAACTTCCACAGGAACTGTGTTCACTCCCAGGGCAGATCAAACTCTCAGAGGAAAGAAGGGAGGAGAAAAGCAGCGGTTGCAGGCTGCCCTGTGTTCCTGACCGGCGGGTCCTCGGCCCACAGAGGGCAGGCCTAGTCAGTTACTCCCCACCCCAGGGACACTAGAAGGGGGTGACAAGGAGGCAGCTAGAAGGGCCCCAGGGATCACCGAGGTCCCTACCTCCTTCGCCAGGAACCCCTGGCTTCCCAGCCTCCCCTCAACCGACATGTCCTTATTTTTCAGGTTTCAAAGTCCAAACAAGGTGAACTCAAGAGGGGCTCCCCAAACCTCCAGCTGTCACCCCCCCCCTCCCCGCCCCTCCACTCTGGGTTGCAAGCACGACTTGCCCCGAAACAGAAAGTTACACGGCAGGCGGCTGTCAGCGCGCAGGAAGGTTAAGGAAACAGGAAGCCACGCCACAACCACCCTCCGGAGCTTCCCCCGGCCCCCTCCTCCGACCTCGGCAGGAACAAAACCTTCCAGGGAAACCCGGGCAGGAAGGGGGGCGGTGGGCAGGCGCGCCACGCTCGCCCGGAGACGGCGCAGGGGACTGGCTGGAGGCAGAGGAAAATAAGCCCCAGGCTGGGGGCGGGAGGGGGGCGCAAGCCACCGATCGGGGCGGCGTGCAGCAAAGTAACTTCACACCCGGGGCTTAATTCACCTTGGAAGGCAGCGTGCCCCGGACGCTCGCCGCGCTGCCGCGGCGGAGCCGGCTCCGGGCAGACAAAAGGAGCGAGACGCGCAACCCCCGGCGGCGGCGCGGTGGGGGCGGCGGGCAGGGTGGGCGCTCCCCGCCGCACGTCGCGCACACACCGCCCGCTGGACCGCAGCGGGAGCCGCCGGGTCGCGCGCGCCCGCCCGCCCGCGAGGTGGGGGGTGGGGGTCTCGGCCGACCCGCCGCCCCGACCCAGGCTGCGGGTCTGGGGGATGGGGGCGGGGGGGGGGCGCCGGGACGGGCCGGCGCCGCGCGGGACCCGGGGAGGCGCGCACCGCTCGCTTACCTGGTAAGTAATACAGAGGCGGCTTCAATCCAAACATGATTCAAATTAGAATTCCATAGTGGCCAGAGAGGGGTGATTTAGGGGAAAAAAAATTTTTTTTAAACCCAGCAATGAAACAAAAAGAGCCGTCCGAGCCAAGGCGCTCAAAAATGTCCAAAACAATAAAATAGAAGAGCGATTCCGAGAGCGACGGAGAAAAATGTCTTTTCTTTTTTTTTTTTCCCCCCTCCCTAAGATGATGGAAGGGCTCTCTCCTGGGCCAGCGCCCGGACAGTTGGGTCGGCCACCTCGGCCCCGGGGCAGATCCACAAGGAGGTGACTGACGACCGAAGACGGGCCGGAGCCTCCACGGCTGCCCGGTGTCTCCGCCGCCGCGTGTGTATTTTCTGCCTTTTGGACTTGAGATGCAAATAAAAAAAGGAGGGGGGCGCACAGCGGAGGGAAGCAGGCGGGAGCGCGGAGAGGAGCGCGAGAAAAATAAAGGGGGGAGGTGAGGGTGATGAAATTGGGGGGTTGAGATCTTCAGGGATTACTCATTTGAAAGAAAAAAAGGAGCGAGAGAGACAGAGAGGGAGAGAGGGGGGGAAAAAAAAGGAGCCCCAAGACGTGCGAGTAGCAATCTCTCCTCCATTCAGCCATTTGAATGTCAAGGGCGAGGGTCAAGGGACCTGTTTCCAACAGGGTTTCACGTTCAGAACCAGAAGGAAAAAGGAAGGGGGGGCGGCGGGAGGGGGTATCTCTTGTTGCCAAGGAGAAATCGGCTTTGTTTTCGTTTCCCCTTAGCTACTGGGTGAGGAGGGGCGGGGTGGGGGAGAGGAGGAGGGGGCGAGCGGGAGAGGGGAGAGGAGAAAATTAATACCCAAACAGCCAAGAAGTACCGAGGGGGAGATTTCTTCTCGTAAATAAGAGGCAGCGATTGCAAACAAGTCTCCGGCAGGAGAAAGCAGGCCGGAGAGCCGGCTCCCCTCCCCCTCTCGCCACCAACAACCCCCACCTTTTTCTTTCTTTTCTCTCTCTCTTTTTTTTTTTTTTTTTTTTTTTTTTTTTGTTATCTCCCCGGGCCGGCGTCCCACCACTGACTCAGAGAGCAGGGGTGGGGGAAGGAAGAGAAAGAACTCGCGGGGGCTCAGGCGCCCGGGCAGAAGGAGCAGGAGGAGAGCGGGGAGGCGAGAGCGCGCGGCGGTGGAGAGCCCCTCGATCAATTTTCATGCAAGAATCATTATCGGTAAATTGGAAAGCTGGCTGCCTGACAGCAGATTTGTCTCCCCTAATGAAAGCGAAAGGGTAGGGGCGCAGCGGCGGGCGGCTGCAGGCTCCTTCCGTCTCTACGCGGCATCTTCCAAGAGCTGCATGCTTTGCAGAGCGATAATAATAGTTTCACTTGCGAGCTTCTCCCCGCGCGGCTGCCGAGCCGGGCAGCCGATCCGTGCGGACTGGGATCGGGGCGCAAGACAGCCGGGCTCCCCTCTCCGAACGCGGGCAGGGTGCCGCTGCTGGCGGCGGGGCGCTCCGCTCTGCCCCAAAGCGGGGCCGTTTGCAAACAGTGGGCGGCCGCGGACGCCGCCGGGCCCCCCTCGGCTGCCCAACTCCGCGCTCTGGCCGCCCGCCCGCCCTCCCCTCCCACGGCTGACAGCTGCGGGAGCCGGAGTTCACCCGCCGCCGGGGCCTAGGAGGAGAATCCCCAAACCGTGTCCCGGGAGGCTCTGGCCAGCCTTTGGCGAACCCACGCGGGACTGCGGAAACGCACACGCCGCCCAGCCCGGGGGGAGCTCCAAAGGCGAGCAGCTCCTTTCTCTCCTTTCTCTTCCTCGCGCCCCGCACCCCACCCTTAAAAATCCGTGTTGTAAGTGTAATCAAATGCTTGATACCATCTTCCACACTCTCCCTGCACCGGTGCATTATCAGATCCGGGAAGGCATGCTTCCAGGCAAATAGACCTAATAAATGCTATTACTGGGATTCTGCAAGCCGCGGCTGCACCATAGTAACGAGCGCCCTGGCTAATTTGGTTTAAGAGAACGATCAACTGCACCCAGTGTGAGTGTGGAGTCTGTATCTCTCCTCCCCACGCCGCCTCTCTTTCACACCAGCTCAAGAAGGCCCCATGTGATAATTCCCCAAATCGAAGGGGAAAAAACCCTGCCGCCAAACCACATCCTGTGCGCTCATTGTCCAGCCCAGCGATTTTAAAGAGACAGACTCCCTCTCCCCACGCCCCCACACACTCTGGAGCGCGCGCTGCAACGCCGCCTCTTGACGTGACGGCTTATGTTCAAGCCCTTTTTCCTTCTGAAGGGCCCCTCGGTGGCCCAACGAGCCGGAGTCGCGGCCGGGTGACACTAAGGGGTCACCTTTTGACCCCACAGACAACCAGCCTGCTTTGAGGAGCAGACCTGAGCCCGCAGGTAGCAGGGCGGGGCCCCGCGAGCTCGCTAAACTTAAGTTCCTGCCACGCTCCCCAGCCCCTGCGTAAATCAGGGGTCCCCCGCGGCAGCCCCGGGGTCCCTGCTAAACGCCGGGGCTTCAGATGACAACTGAACTCCCGGAATACGATACTCTAGAGGCGAGCTCCGGAGGGCAAACTGGAGGAGGTGGGGGCACCAGGCGTGCCTCCGGACCCCTCTAGGCCACTCACGCGCGCCCCCACCCCCGCGCCGCCCACCCCGCCAGAAGACTCAGATGGGCTGGGCGGAGCGCTCGGAGCCGCGGGAGCGAGGTGGCGCTCCTCCCCGCCGCCACCAACGGCTGGGTGGGTGCCGCACGCCGGCGGCCGCCTGCTCTGCCGGCTGGGTGCGAGGCGCGTCTTTTAGTCCCCCGGCCGCGCCCCGCCCGGCGCCTCTCCCCGTGGGCGGCCGGGCGCGCGCGGTCACCCGGGGCAGCGCCGGGGCCGCTGACCTGGAGGAAACGGGCCGCGCGGGGCCGCCGGCGCCCGCCGCCGGCATCTGGCCGCTCCGCCCAGGGCTGACCCCGGAGGTCGCGCCCGGCCCTTGGCGGCGGCGGCCCTTTGTTTCCGGGGCTGCGTGGCGGCGCGCTCGGTGCTCCCCGCGCCTCCCCCTGCGCTCGCCGCCGCTGGCGGCGTGGCGAGGGAGACAACGGTCCCGGCGCGGCGGGGTCAGGGTCCAGCACCTGCCCGCCCCCACCCCCGTCCCCGGCTCGGCTCGGCCTGGCCTCGACTTGGACCCCAGCTTTCGCCTCCCGCCCATTTATCACCCACTTATCACCCGCACGCTTGATAATCTGCGCCCCTCTGGGAGTGGGGGGTAACAGGGCGCGCGGGGGGGGGGCGTGGGAGCTGCCGCCTACGCGCCCCTCCAGGTCCCTCATAGGCTTTGAAGATCTCTGATCCTACTTGGGGGGGGGAATTAAACTATTTTTAAAAGACCCTAAACTATCAGTTTCTGTTGTCATTCTTTTATTGGTTTTTAATTCTCCAGGATTACATGAACAACAGTAGTAATTAATACTAAACCTTCCTCTACTGTATATGCTAATGGCAGGAGCCATAAAAATTAATTTGCAAACATGTCATTACACAATAGCTATACAGGCAATAAACCTGTAATTACGGGCCAATCACAGGCAGGGGGTACAGAGGGAGAGATGGTCCCCCAATCTGTTGGGTGCCCCCCCTCCCCTGCTAAAATGGGGAAGATGATGCCAGCAAGGAGCTTGCCTTCTGAGAGCCACCTGTAGAGAATGCTCCCAGCTCCAGGGGACGGCAAAAGGGTCTCCGGCCTCGAGCTCCAAAAAGCCCGGCTTCGGTGCAGGACCCCCTGGAGAGAGCCACTCCCCAGCCCACCAGGACCGATATAAGGCGGAAAGGAGAAGCCAAGAGCTCCCCGCCGAGCCGGCAGGTGGGGGGCTGAGCAGTAAGAGGGTAGAAAGCCCCACTCCGGAGGGCCAGCCCCGGCCTCCCTGCTCCCCAGTCAGAGGCAAACATCTCTCCCTATAAGCATTTGAATGCCTGCATTGAATTATCTCTAGACGCTCCGGCCAACCCCTAATGGCTTTTGGCCACTCCCTCAGGGAAGAAGGTGAGCAGCGAGGTTCTAAGCGAAACCCAAGCCTTCTTCGGGCCTGGGTTTGGGCGGCTCGGAGTAGGTTGGTGACATTTCCTGGTGACAGGGACGTTTGGAAGGGAGGAAAGGAGGAGACCCACTGTGAGAGCACGGCTGCACCACGGCTCCTGACCTGAAGCCAAAACAGCTGAAAAATAGAAAGCCACCCCCGCCGTGCCAAGCAGCCTGCTTAGTGGGCCGACTCTCCACTGAATGGCTCGGTTGTTTGCCATAATGTGGCTGAGCGAGGAGCTGGAAGGATTTTCCCTTTCCCACTGGCCCTTGTGGCTTGGCTGGCGTCTTTGGAACGCCTCACTGTGGCCATTCATTCCCAGGGGAGCCATCCCAGCTCGGAGGGTGGCGATGGCCTGGCTGGCCCGGGGGGGCGGAGGAGGGGGTGGCGAGAGGGACAGCCAGCCCTGGCCACACCTGGCCCAGGTGAGAAGGGCAGCACTCTCCTGGGAGTGTCACTTCGGTGGGATTCTGTGCAAGGACAGGATGTCTCTCTCCACCCCCTCTTCTCTCTCAGACGCAGGTCATGGCCATAACCCTCCCCCCATCTCGGTCAGATCACCTCTGGGGGGAGGGGGGAGGAGGGATTTCTAGAAAAGAGGCAGGAAATGGGATAGGCTGAGCCTCCAGTGCCCCTCCAGTCGGGGCCACCGCAGGGCAAAGTCGCCCCCCTCCCGCACCCCCCCCCACTGCCACCTCCCTGAAAGAGCCCTGTCCACACTGCAAGCTGACCCGGGGTCAGAGGGCGGCTCTGGGCCATGTCCTGGGCAGGGCGGAAAGAGAAGAAAAGCGCTTCGTCGTCTCTCAATGGGAAAGCAGGCTGGGGGCCGGCTGCCTCCCTGGAACCTGCATGGAGCCCCCCAGAATCCCACTCTGAAGCAACGAGGTCCCCCCCCCCCGCTGCTCCTTCAAAATGGAGGGGCCCGAGACTCCCCCTAGCGGGGCTGCCGTTGCCAAAGCACAGAGACAGCCCAGCCGGCCAAGAGCGTCAGCTGAACGCAGTAAAAATAGCCTTCCTGCACGTGCTGAGGACCCGGGCTGCAGCAGGGGTCTGGAGAGCACAGCCGGAGAAGGGGGGACGGGGGCGGGGGGGACACTTGCAGCCGGGCCTGCCAGCTCTGCATGCCCACTGCACCCTGCTGGCCGCCCGGGCCAGGCCCAGCTGCCACCAGGCCACCAAGGCATGCCCCCCAGGGATCTGAGGAGAGGGGGCAGAGGCCATGCTGGGAGCGTGGCTAGCCCGAAATGGCCCGTTGGGTCTGCCCCTCCACTTCCCTCTTTGGGATAATCACGCCAGCGGATGTTCCCTGAACGCTCAGTCTGTGCCAGCTGCTGTTCTAAGCACTTTTCACAGGGAACTGACTGGATCCTCATGACAATGCTGTTCAAGGTCACCATGAGGAGTTTCATTTTCTAGATGAGGCACAGAGAGGTCAAGGACCTCACCCAGGGACACACAGTCGGGGAAGTGGCAGGGCTGAGATCCGAACCCAAACTTGTTCCAGAGTCCAGGTTGGAGCTGGACCTACCAGAGTTCAAGTCTCAGCTGGGCCCCCACCCACCACAGGCCCTCAAGGCCATGACATCACCATCTGGAGACCTGGTGTCGTCACCAGGAAAATGGGATGA